CTCCCAGAACGAAAGCAAGCAGTCTGTTTTATGGACAGGCGAGAAAAAAGTTAACTACTTTGGATTATTTCGTGAACTATAAAATAAATTCGTAATACAGAGAAATTTGGATTCATATGGCGCCTCGTAGAATTCGACACAAGTACGCTAAACAAGCGTGTGTAAGCTGCAGAAAATCGAAAACAAGATGTTGTCAAGCCTTTGACGATGAAGCGACTTGTTCTACCAACGATATAAGGTTTTCGTGCGATTATTTTATCGATCAAGAAAGTCTAAGTGATTCATCATCAACTTCCGGCAAAAAGAATTACGAAATTAACGAGAATATCAAAAGCAACCTGGGCAATTGCTCCAGGTGTAAAAAGCGTGGGCTCAAGTGTACATACGCAAACACATTTAACAAACGCGGTCCGAAGACGAAGAATCCAAAAATGTTGGTGCAAAATCTTGTCAGATAGCATGTACCAAGGGACTTCATTCGAACCACATCAGTTCTCTATAGTAAAACCAATTCCTCATTCTCTTTTCAATGTCTCCCACTTTTACTAACATTTAAACTCACATCTTGCACATTTATTATTAGAATTTGGCATTCTCAAAATGTACTTGCATTTTTTCATATTTTCATATTTGCACAATTCGTAATGACCAAGTATATTTCGAAAGGAAATTCTAGTTAACTTACGAAATGGGAGGAAAATACCCTTTTCATTTTATTTTTTACATTTTCTTTATACAACATTTATTCGACGAGAAAAAAAATAGATAAAAATTTTTTCTCATGCTTAGCATTGCAAATTTGAATTGTGAAAACTGCATATGTAAACAATATCATCCAATATTTTGCAATAAAATATAATGCATCATCGATACAATAGAATAAAGTGTATCTATTCATTGCTTATATGATTATAAGCAACGTAACATGATTATTCCATGAATCGCGGCGACCCGGATTACCTGACATTGAAGCGCAGTATAACTGGCGTGCATGTACCACAAGCAAACAAATCTATCGCATAGTGCCCTTTTAAAGCCGGGATAGCGAAAGCCGCAACACTGTATTTACTGTACGCACTTTGATTCGTATATGCGCCTAAGGTGGGCAAAGAGCAAGCCATTCATATTCGTTGTGCTTTATTGTGTCATTTTATTATACTGCGTAATGTTAAAATTAGATTAGCCTTCATTTTTCTGCGGATGGTCAAATCAACACGAGGTACGCTTTGATCGGGATTCATTTTTACAAAAGACTCTTTGATATATAATTGAAAGGCAAAATTGTTAAACATAAAACTTAATTTAAAGTTTCTGATAATAAGTCACTGACCATGGGTTCCTGCTTTCTAACCGTTGCTGCAAATACAGTATATCCGTAACCTAACCATAATTTGAAATTACAATTATTGTGATACGGAAATTATACTCAAAATAATGTAATTATATGTACTGTGCCATACTATAAAAAACGCAAATACTACATCAGTCACTTATTTTGGTATAACCCCCGTTATTTGAATCGAATGAGACGAAGTCAAAGGAAGGCTATTGTCGCGAGATCAATCAATGATGTGATATGCTTGACCCGTTTAGAGTTAGAATGATTACGTAAGGAACCATAGTAAAGGGGCAAGGGTGATATATATATATTTTTTTTCCTGCTGTCACGTTTGTTTCCCCGAAACTGCTTTCCGGCTCATTGAATCTTCCCCCTCCCGCATAATTGCCACCCGTCGACTTTTCGTCTGCGAACGTTGTTGTAAATCTTCCGCAATGAATTAAATGATGTGAACACGGCTGCAACGGCTGTGCACTCCCCGCGGCGTGCGGTTTTGTGATTTAGAACACGACTGCGTGTTCTCCGCAACATTTAATGTTGGAATTGATCACAATGGGTTCTTCTAGGCACGGGATTTTCATTAGCATTTCCTCGTCGATTTTTTATTTATTTGATTTGTGCAAATCTGAGCGAGAATAATTGTTACTACATGCAGTACTTAAAGTACTTGCACAGTCGATAACCAAATTAACGCACAATAATATCTAAGTAAATTTGAAATTTATATTGTTAAAATTTTTTAGAAAAAGAAAATTGTTATAATTAATAAATAAATAAATTCAAATGTTTTTATTATAAAATTCTATAACTTTGTGAAGCACACAACTATCTGATACTGTATATATACAGTATGCAGTATATTAATTCACAATATAAAAAAATTTAAATGATAAATAATTATATATTGTTATTGAATTTTTTTTTTTTTTTTTTTTTTTTTTTTTTTTTTTTTTTTTTTTAAATATGAAATAAAAAAATCATACCGTATATTGTACAAAAATACTTTAACTTTTTATATAACACGGAATTTTCAAATCAAAAATTCGTAAAATTTATATAGTAAGAAAATTCTAAAATTCAAAAAATTAATGACTTCATTGATATGCATTTTTTTTTTTTTTTTATAGTTAATAGACTCGGTGCGACATGCACCCATGTGTCCTATAACTGGAATAATCAGAAACCTTGTCTAAAACATACTGTATATCGCAAAAGCAATAACTTGCGATGAGATTATGTTATAAGAATAATGATAACTTTCTGCATGCTTTACATAATTTGTTTAATATGTGTGATATTCGAAAAATTCAGAACATTGAAAAATAAATTTTGTTGTGAAATACAGTAATAGAAATGCCCGTATAACGCAACTACGCTAAAGCTACATATAGTATATACAATGTGGGTCCGATTTGCGCAAAAAAAAAAAATTTTCTATTTACAGTAAGCATCAATAACGAAAGGAAACTTGCGTAACCGTTTCATGCAGGGCACGGTTCACGTCGGTGTCTGCAAGCCGATAAACACCCCATTCAGTAAACATCGGAGATTTATCAACTTACCGCTTTAAATGCATGCCATTTTGAGAAATATTACATACACCCACATATGTACCATTCCTCTTTTGTGAAGACAGGCAGATCATCAGAAATATTGCATATTGTATATACTATATGAGACATACCACCATTCTCCGCAGAGTATTATCCGGACAAAGGTATTAGTATAATATAGGGCGATCAAATGTCAAAAATAGAAACTGTCTATAGCAGCCTGTGGACGTCTTGTTAAAGTCTGAAAGAACGATTAAAATTTTAACAAAAGCGTTCAATTTACAATCCGCAGATATCCGTAGATAAGGAAGAATCAAATCTTTCATGTTTGTTCTGTTGGGCGCCTATGCACCTGACACCAATAACTTGTACAATACCTTATATCCCGGACATGCTAACTTCTATCTCGCGAGATATCTTCTATACTGTATATTTTGCTAGTCGAATACCTCTGCTCTTCATATTTTATTTTTGTATAATATGTTCTGTACATAATGCGCAGCAAAGGTATTATTATTTATCATCATGTTTCAACCAATAATCTAAATTAAGAGCAAATATGCTGTTATTTCATTTATTTACAATGACCATGATATATACTGTAATTTTTGACAATACTCAAGTTTAAATTGTAAAGAATCATCCACAACTGTACTTCTTAGTTTTGTCATAATCCATTTTATTTCTATGACGAATTAACTTATGGATAGATACTTTCATATAACCCAATTTCGGAATTTTAAATGAAAGCAAATTTTATTTTATCATTTTTAAATATGAACATCATTCAAGTTGACGAGAATTTTTTCTAGTCGACTATTTTTTTCTTATTACAAACATTCGAACAGCATGCACTGTGTTACAGTAAAATGGATTTATCCCGTAATTAAAACTTTTCTTTAAATTGTAACAATAATTTTCATATCAAAAGTTAATTATTGTATAATTCAGAAAATCAATAGATATCCGTATTATCAAGACGATTTTAACGACACTCTTCTTGTGTTTCTTATATTATTATTACCACCGATAACGAATGAAAAAATAAATAAATAAATTCCTAAATTGAGACCATGTTTAATTATACATTTCAAATTGACCAATTATTCAAACTCCTTTTGACTATTTGCCTTTAAAAATTCGACAGCAAATTCTTGATTTGCTCAGAATTACGTCAACACTGCCGGAACAACTCTATTTGTTAACTTTAAATAAGGTGCTCTTTGATGTTTATCTTGATCAATAGCATTAATAGTATACTACATGTGATTCGCTGCTACCGGAATGTCTTGCAATCATACTGTATATAATAATACGGAATATCCAGTATTTATGTTATGTACCTGCACATTAAGGTTAACTCTCGGCAGTAGTTTATCTTTTTCAAAGTTATAAGCACATGTCAGTTCGAGAACAGCGAAATTTCATGCCCAATATTTTTTCAAAGTCGGAAATAAATCACATTAAATATTATTTTCCGTTTCCTTTTGATGTGAACCTAACCTAAGGAGGTTTTAAGGGAGAAAAAACGAATGCGCAAAGAAATCTTTTATTATTATTATTTTTATTCATTACCGGTTTCACGCAAAATGTACTTGCGGTATTTCCGGCAAAGAATTTAGTAGGCAAATTCCGGTTATTTTCGTCATCGGGAGAAAAAGAAATATTTTCATAATGGCATATATAGTAATCGCGTTCTTTTTCCGCATACATGGTTATCAAAATAGGAATAATGAATGATCTTCCTAATTATAGGAAATGATATTACGTCAATGTGCTCCCGCATGTGTATAAGGAAATAATAAATGTTAGTGTATTCTCATAATCGCACGATCTTTTCTAATTTGTCTTTCTCCTCCATAGAGTGTTCCAAATGTTTCTATTATAAAAGATAATAATTATGCTAGTATATTATGCTAAATTATTTACAAAGAGAGTAAAATAATTGAACAACTCACCTTCGATGGTAAACAAAATCTCACGTGGATCTCTAGTTCCTCGTTATATAAAACGTGGTTTCAAGAACCAAGTAATTTTTTTACAAGACAACATACTAAATTCACTGAATTTTCTCCAAGCTACCGAATATTTTGCAATTCCGAATAATAATGGCGATACGCAGGACTCGACAACAATATGCCAGGCAAGCATGCACAAGCTGCAGAAGATCAAAAACCAAGTGCTGTCAAGCTTCGAATAACGAAAAATTTTGCTCTCCCGGTGACGGCCCAATATTTGCATGCAATGATTTTATCGACCAAGGAAGTTTAAATCATTTATCGCCATCTTCTTCTGATAAAAAAACCACCGAAAGCTACCCCAGAGATTGCACCAGATGCCAAAAACGCGGTATTGAATGCATATACACCAATACATTTAATAAAAGGGGTCCGAAAACGAAAAGTTCAAAGATGTTGGTGGAAAACCTTATTCAAAGCACCTCAGAGTGACTTTATTTAATTATGATCGTGGTTCAACTAATTTCATTCTCCATGAATACCGAAATTTTCGTTCTTTACTCGCTCACGCTTAAGACAACGGAACTTCGAGAAATGTATATTTCGTGAAACGTAAATATCGTATCAACTATATTATTTTAAAGATGGTTCTAATTATAGTAAGGCTCAAGTTTATTTGTTTAGATTGCATATATTCGGTAGAGTATTTTGTTAGTATATGCGAATTCAATTTTACACCCCAAATTAATTGTACATATTGAATATAATGTATATGGTTTGTTATTTACAAAGAATATTTTGACTACCTGCAAGATATCGATTTTTGAATGGTCATGTTTGTACATAGAGCTCAGGCATGTAATATTATTCGATCACACAATGATTTTGGTTAATATCACACCTATTTAGGCTACCATGAAAGGAATTTGCGTAAACTACAAACAAAAAAAAATCCAAAGTTTTTCATGTAATATGCAATTATGACCCATGTGCGACGATGGTCATGCAAGGGTTATTGTCACGAGGATCACCTTATGCATATGGGGATTGTTTTTTTTTGCGTCCTATGCATGAAGTGGATAACGAAACAAAGGAGGGAAAAAAGAGGGAATCATGCGGTGAAAGAAAGAAGGAAACACGGGATAAAGAAAGGAGATATATGATGAAAGAAAGAACGTGATCACGATAGAAATGGGACTTTCAATAATTACCACCCACTGACCTGTGATAAATCGGTCTATATATGAAAATGATGATTGCTCAAAAACCTGCTCGTTGACTTTTCACGATTCATTCCTGAAACAATATAACAAATGAAAGTAATATAGATAGATAGAATCGTATCATTAATAGATATTCGAAAACAGGGAAATAAAGAAATAAAAGAGGGTGAAAATGAAATGATAGAAATAGGATTGTGGATCGCGGAAAAATTTACCTTGATGAAAAAACTATCCAATCTGAATTTAAAATAGAATTGACAAAATAATATGGAAATATTTGATAAATATTTGGGAAATGTGAGTCATTAAAATAGTTTAATTTATCACGAAAACAATTACTTATCTAGATTTTGGGGGGATTTTTTTTTTTAAAAAAAAAAATGGAATAACAAATAATTTGACATACTGTAGTGAATAAACAAAATTATAAATTGCTCTTTGTTATTTTAAAAATTCTAGATATTTGACATACTCGTCGTACAAAAGATGGTAGGATTTCATTTAAATAAACTTGATTGTTTCAATTCATAGGACATTTTAATTTAATATGCGTACAGTAATTGTTTATTTGAACATGGAAATCTTAAAATAAAATTTTAAAGATTGAATTTACACCTTTTATAATTTCTTATGATAAATCATACTTTTTAATAAATTTAACGTTAATAAAAAATTTAAATAAAGTTTAGAATTGATAAAATTATTCTGAAATCAATTGATCAATATTAAAACTTTTTTAAAAAAATTTTTTTTTGCAATAACCAATAAATACTTTTTAATAGCTTATGTTATTGTTGATTAATTGGTAAAGCTAATTGTTTTTCAAAATATTAAGCAAATAGAAAATTATACTACTATATTTTTTATTAATTTTATTATTTATTATAAACTATATACTGTATATAATTTATAAAATCAAACTATTGATTTTTTTTTTTTTTTTTGCAATACCTGTTATCAAATTAGACTATAATTTATTAATCAATCAAATATATAAGCATAATTTATTTAAAAAATATAATATATAGTTAAACTATTTTATTTGAATCTAATAAACTTGAAATAAAATATTTTTATATAGTTAACAAATATTATTAATATAAATTCTATAGACCTGCGGATCTATAGCACAGTGGTAGTGCTCCCAGGTCACAATCACAAGGTCCAGAGTTCAATACCACATGAGGACCAAGTGAAAAAATTAAAAGCCAGCGGTGGTATGAAGATTGCATCTACCCCATGATGCTGATCAGACACCCCAACACAGCTATAAATCAAGGAATCACCCGCTCACCATACTCAAATCAAGACAAGACCAGTCCCAATAAAGGCAAAAGGCTGAAGTGGTATGATATCCTTGATACGCACCATTCCCCCTCGAAGTAGTTAAGTTGGGTAGTCAAAGGTGTTCCGGCATTCAAAAAAAAACAAGACATGTTCCCAAAAGAGGCAAAGATGAGTTGATAAAGAAGGCAGACCTCATATAAAAATTATGCGCTAAAAGGAGTTATAAAGATCCTGTATAAGAAATCCTCAATACCGGTGGTACTGAGTATCTTAGGCAAGTTCTTGACACATTAGCTTTCCCTATAAACGGGGATAGCGACAAGTCATCTGATGGACCCAAGGTTCTAGGAAGTGTCACTTCAACTAAGAAAGAGGTAATCAAGCAGATGGTACCCCATTAAATTGGTTGGTTAAAACATCCCCCTTATTCTTTGGTCTTTGTTAAGAATTAAGAAAAAATCCTACACTAGACGGTCACATAGTTCCCCCTATCCTGGTTGGGTGAGACGTAAAATAGATGCCCCTTGCACTATTCATTGATCTGTAAATCCTTAGACAGTATGGGTAATTACTTATCCCGGTTGCTGCTAGGATCTATCTTAATAATTAACAAAGCATCGTTTTTGGTGCAAGAATGAGCTAGCACAAAAAAAAAAAAAATTAATATAAATTCTATAAAGATATCAAAATACAAGAAATTACAAAAAAAGATAAATTAGAAAAAAATAAAATATTTAAAAAAATGAATAAATATAAAAAATTAAAAAAATAAAAACCAAAAAATTTATTTTTTTAATAAAAAAATTTTTATTAGAATAGTTTTTTATCTTTAATCATTTAAAAAACTTATTATTTTGATTTAATATTTTGATTAAACTATTTATTAGGATTTTTATTTATTAAGGATTGTTATAATATATTAATATATTTGTAGGCTCTAATAGTACTCTTTTTCAATCTTCTCTAGAGATTTTACCTACTTTAATTTGATTCTGAATTTTAAGTAGCACAAAGTTTCTCATAAGTTGATCAGTTCAATAGGATCATATCAGTAAAAGAATGTAAACAAATTTTCATTGGTCACTTCATATGTCAGAATACATTTTTTTGGTTTTATAAGAATCCAGGATTTATTATAAGTTATATACCATGACACAAGTAAATATAAAATATACCATCAACATATTATTAAATACAAGAAAGAGTCCATTTGATCATAGTAAAAGTCACAAGATGTTTGATTAACCTTTTGAAAATTAGATTTACCTACTTCTAATTGTATATTAAGTAGATTTTAGCTTCTACTGTTTGAAAAAGTTCATTAGAAAAAGTAAGAAATAACTAGAAACACTTAGTAATAAAACTTGTACATATAATAAATTAGAAAGTTTTTATCCTATCTTCAAAAAATTCCAAGTTGAAAAACTGGAAGAGTAATATTACTATATAAATCAAAACTCAAGTTCAAAAATATCAGTAGTAATGTGTAAGTCAGTCAGATAATCTGAAATTTCTCTTTAATTACTAATACCAATAGTCACTAGTAGAGTATATCAACTATAAGACTAGATGCAGTCCTTCTTTAAGGAATTAAATCTGAAATGTATTGTATAGATAGGTAAGTATATCTATATTTAAATAAAAACAAAATTAATTAACAATATATTGGAAGACTCTTAAGCTACTTATATAGATATCAATATATCATCTGGATTTTCCTGAATACTTCCTCTTCACAAAGCTCAAAACTATAAAGTCTGTCTTGCTGTTTCTATTTTATTTCCATAAAGATTCAGTGAAAACTTCTCCAAACTATCCTAAGAGAAAAAATTGAATCAGAAAGTATATGTATTAAAAAATATAACTAATACTATTTTAACATAATATATTACTATTTAATTTTTCTTTTATTTTCTTTTTATTTTCAATGACACTAGCATGTTCAAGAAAATATTAGTTTTTTTTTGTAAAAAGAAAGGGCAATAGATTTCTAAGTAACTTTAGCTTATCTAATTCTTTATTTATCTCTTTTAAATATATACTCCTGTATATGCACTTTGCACAATATATATATATAATTTGGAATCTGACCACATATAAAAAAGATATTCACAAGAAGTTTTATACTTCCTTGCTAATAAAACCTTTATACTTTCATTAAAACAACTTAAGGCTTACCTTAATTTATCTCTTCTACCCTCTCTTACTTATTTATAATCTTCTTTAAATAAAAACTTAAGTCTCTAGTAACCTAAAAAAACTCAAGTATGCACTTTCTCTACTAAAGACAAAAAGATTCTAAGAAGTAAAAGGACTGATAAGTGAGTTAAAAGTGACAAGAAATAGAGATTCTATTGATAGAAGAAGGCTTATTATCTACCTTCTCACATATTGTTTTATACCCTATTAAAGTACCTATTGTTTTTACAGTTTTTTTGATAGATTTTTTCTACCTCAATTTGATCCTAAATTTTTGATAGTACAATGTCACCTGATATCTGATTGGTTAATATGAAATATATTAGTAGCTAAATATAAATAAGCTTCTACTGGTAACCTTGCATGTTCTGATGATGTCATTGGTAATAGAAAGAGTTGATTGATACCCTATGTCTGTCCACTCCTCCAATTGGATTAACTTATTGATCAAGTTCTATGAGGCCAATAAAATATGAGCAACAAGTCTCCAGGTAGTGAAAAAGCTGCTATTTATTCAAGCCGAAATCTTTCTTTTTTATTATCCCAGTCAAGCAAAGTTCAAGATCAAAGTCTCCTTTTTATTTTAGTCAGGCAATAAAACCAAATGGTCTCTAGTTCATGCTAAGCTTCAACCTTTTGGTTATAGTTGAGAATGCATTTTCTCAGAAGTTGTTAAAGGATATTACAATTGATAAGAATTTCCACTACTCTTGAAACCCTCCCACCATTATAAGGCAAAAGGATTATTAGAGAATTTAATCTTTTGAATAATGAAAGATGTAT